CTTTCCCTAATAATATTAAACATACAGTTTTGTGGGCAGGTAGGCTGCAGTATCATCTTTGCTCTTGATGATGTCATTACACTTGTCAAGTGTCTGAAAAACAGTAAATGTGTCTCCAATGCTGTAGAGAGCAGCAAGATTTTTTGCTAGCAGTTTTCGTGTAGGTGGCCCAGGGGAACTGCTGATGAGTCCTGTTAGCTGCTCCACAAGTTTCTTCTGTTTTTCCTTGACATCTGTCTGTTAACAGACCAAAAATAAAGTTGTTTAATCCTGTGTCTTGTCTCTAACACCCAGAAAAACCTACAAGAGATTGAAGTAAATCTTACACCACTCCCACTCGTATTTAATTCACCAAATTGCTTGTCTCGCAGAGATTTCAGATGCATTCAACAACAGCAGATAGAGATCCTAAATGTTCTAAATGTTACCCTATTTTTTACTTTTAAAAAATACTTATTAAAAATACAGCAATGCCTGTCTAGAACATTTTTTTAATCTCCTTTACCATCCAGAATCCCTACTCTGGGAGGGAAGGTTTTGCCTTCCAAATACTTGCAACAATGAAGAACTCAAACCAAGCTATGTGTAACAGATCAGAGTCACAGTGACTGCCTACAATTAAACACTTAAAAGCTACAAACTAATACAGAGGTTCTTCAGGCTAAATCCGAAACCATACAGTTATCACTTGGCCATTACCTGTAAACTTTCTCTAGCATGAGATTTACATGAATGTCTTAGAAAGAAGGGTGAAAAAACATTAAATTACCTTATTAGCAGCTACTAGCACTTTATCCAAAAATCTTAACCACTCAAAGATAAAGACTGGTCTCTTTGCTTCTGTGATTTGAGCTAATGCTTCCTCGTTCAGTAATAAACTATGGGCCAGCTCCATTACTGGTTAAATTCCGGTTTTATTGTAAATTTGTGTATCAACTATAAAATAGAAAAAAATGTAAATATTAGCATAAAGTATAGTAGAACAGTGCAAAGCTCTGTAAATCAAGTTAAAATATGAGGATGAAATCTACAAATTAGAGTGCCATGATTCCAGCCTGCTTAGGCTTGTCTTAGCTCAGAGGTCTCACATAAAACTATTCACACATTTACAACTGAGTATATCCATAAGTACTTCAGGGAACAGAGTTGTTAATTGTAAAATGAGCACTTACGGGCAACTTCAGGGTGTTAACTCTTAGCCACAAAACTCACACTGTTCAAAGAAAAAAAAAACAACAACAACAAACCCACACACAAAAAGAGGCAAAGGAGTCACAGAATCACAGAAGTCACTTCACTGTCTCCTCTTACATAGAACAGAATAAAGATTGTTCCTAATCAGGACCCCTGACCATGCTCCCAAAGCCTGGGCATGAACCTGGCCACCCTCTCAACACTTTCCAGAGACAAGGTGAGAAGGAGACGAGCCTCCTGCAACTAAGAATTCCCACCCTTCACAAACTTGAGAGAGGCAGGAACAGTGACACCATTTGGCATCACTGACCTAAGACGTCCCAGCTCCCACTAGCCTTGCTTCAAGTGCTGGACAAACAAGCCCACTGAAACTCAGCAAGTCTGATGTGTGACAGCCTGGAATACAAGCAGCAACCAAATGACTGCAAGTATCCCCAACAGGCAGAATGCTACAGACCAAACATCAGGAGATCCTGCTCCCGTTGCGCAGATAGCACCAAAGCACTACCAAAAGCATAAAGCACACTATCAGTGTAAACAAACACTCTACACACAACCTTAGCAAACTATATTTAAGCAAAGTGTACCTGTTTAATGCAAAACAGATAGAAAAAAACAACACTTACCTAAAAATCACAAAAATAAGTCAACCACCTTCAGCAAAAAGGAACCCCAAAAGCAAAAAAACTCAATCTCAGTATCTGAATGCAGCAATGCTGAAACTAGCATCTCAGGCAAAACAGAAAAAGCAAAGCAACTAAGGAGTATTATGTAAGACATCATCTTTTGACAGCTGTACCATTTCACTTGTGCTCTCAAGTGTTCACAGCTGCTTCTTCATTCATGGTCAAACCTAACAAATTCTTAAAGTCAAATGAAGTGATTAAAGTCAAATGAAGTGACAGTGGTAAAGGGTGACATAGTAATACTACAACTGTATTATGATTCTAAATTGACCTTAATGATTTTGTGTGGATACACTTTATAGTTAGCTGTGCTGGCAGTACTGCGTTGCAGAATTAAGACTTTCATCCTTGAGCTCTTTTCTAAACAAGTACATAACTCCTGCTTGCTAATTATGAAAAGAGACCCTGACCAGCTGAATATCGCTCATGTTGGGAGTTTGTCCGTGAGAATGAAGAGGTAATAGGCTTCTCGTACACAAGATGTGCATGGGAGTGAATGGGAGAGTATGATCAAAACAGACCTTGGAAAGTCTGTTCTCCCTGTGTGATAAGAGGGTGATTGGAGGAGTACACAAGCTAATAACAACCCTGGCGGCATAGTCTGGTCTCTTGTTTGTAATCCACAAATAGTGCTTCTTGCTAAGAAGTATAAATATGTGTGTCTGCCTGCAATGAACCGAATTCCATTTTCCACCATCTCAGAGTTCGTGCGTGTTTCTCCACAATTTTGTGCTCATGAAACTAAAGCATCACAATGCCTGTAATACTAACCTTGCTCCCTGCTCTTTGGTACTTTGCATTATAAATATTTTTCACTGCATATATCTCCAGCAACAGATCAGTACAGACGGAGGAGAAACATACAGAAATACACAGAGCCCTCCTGAAGCCTCCAAAAACATCTTCTGTTTTTTCTGGTGGTGTTGGTTTCGGTTGTTTTTTTTTTAAATTATAAAGAATTCAGGAGGTATTGCCTGTCAGTAAGGCACAGATGCAACACCTCAAACCACTTTTACACGAGAGCAGTGGGAAACAAAATGAATGACAGCACTGTGATACTTTTGATATCATCCCAGAGATCCACACTGCTCATCACACCCACACAGACCAGGAATACCATATGTTAGCACAGCTCATTACTCTTTTGCCTCCCCAGATAAAAGTTTTAATTTTCCCCTGGCCTCTAGAGCCATGAAGCCCTTATAAGCCTTCCATACATTGCCCTACCTCTTCGTCTAAATTTAGGAAACAAGCACTGAGCAACCAAATTTGCCTGTATATTCAGCTGTGCCATCAAAGAACAAGGGATTAGGTACAAGAACAATTACGCAAATATTCAGCTAAATAGAGACTCAGAGTCTAACGTACAGCTATGCAGGCAGGCAATTCAAAGCTCAACTATCCTGGCCAAAGGTTTGCTCCAAAATTCAGTGAAAAATGCCTACCAAGTGCAGAATAATTGAGGGAGGTTACATGGAAATTAAACTTATACTAAAAGTACAGCATTGTTACACATTAAGGTACAACACTGAGGAAGCTTCCAGGGCAAAGCGCAGCTGGTATGCAAAGGATCCCTTCCACAGGAGTTCCCTAGGCAGCCTTAGATACTGGTAACAGAGGAGCTTGATGCACTGACTCTAAGAGAAACTATGCAGAAAATGGAGCAGAGTAGAAATACTGTGGCCAGTCTCTGTAACTATGGACAGAACTTGAAGATACCATTGAACTGATAAGCTGCCTATTTGCTACCCTGGGCGAATAGTCTGTCATTTTTTGACAAAATACTGTCCTTTGGGTGAAATATGCTCACTATAATCTCATTATAATACCAAAACACACCTCCATCCCCAAAGCTACCCCTCTTCAAGGTGCAACCACTCCTCACTGAGCTTGCACTCTGAATTTCTCTTAGTCTATACCTTTAAAAGCGCAGTGAGAAAATTTTACATAACATAGGTATGTAGGAATAGAGTCACTCAAGCTGCACCTGCATGGTAAAAAATAGTATAATAATGTCTTAAGAGTGGAAGGATGTCAGGGAAGATACCATTATGGACTGCCTCTGACTTCTGGCATCAGTCAAAAGCCTGAGCCTCTCTTCCCTCTCATATTGGGTAAGATTTGAACAATTGGTTAGACTGAGTGCTTCCCTGGGAAACTTCGAAATCTCTATAGAGTTGTCCTATAATTTAATGCATTTGTACTCAGGCTGTAGTATTGATATTCTTGGTACGTGCACGTGCTTTGCAGATAGTGACATCATCACCAGCAGTATAAAGAATTTTTGCATCAGTTGCTTTAATAAACTGTACTATTCATTAATCTAGCTGTAGGAGTTCCTATCAGACCCTGCTAGACTGCATTAGTCTAGCTGTAAGAGTTTTCAAATGCCACCAAACTCTATCTGGCCAGGACAGTTTGGAGAACGCCGCTGGACTGCATTATTAGTCCAGACTATTGACATAGAATTGGGCATCGCTCAGAATCTAAGCCTAGCTGTCCCCAACCCCTCTGACACCTGAGGACAAGCTGGAATTCAAGGTTTATTTTAGGCCAAAACACTTTTCCCTTTAATGCAGCATTAGGTTCTACTGATTCTGGCAAGGGCTGGATCCTGCTGTGCATGTTATCACTAATACATGCGCTATTATCTCTCACAGGATGCAGACCCAAACCCTACCAAAGCCAAGTAAGTTCTACGGAAGCACTAGACACTATAAAACTTCCAGATGTGCTAGAGCTCCTTTTTATTATTCAGCTATTTTCCTGCAGCTTAAATCAGCTATTTAGACCTTCATCACGCATGCCCTTCAGTGGACTGCGAAACTTTGGGGTGGAAAAAAAGTTTAGGAGAAGTGACATCTTCCTGAAAAACTTCATCAGGCAAAAAAGCTTTTGTGCCTGAATCCTTCTATCTATAGCAGCTCCTTTACAAGCTGCAGCACCTTTCCCAGCACATCCTGCCTGGTTCAAAAACCCCTCGAGCTCTAACGCCTTAACACCGCGTGACCGCACTAGCTACGGCCAACCCCTCAGCAAAGGAACGGTGCTAAAAAGCACCCAGAAGCGCGCTGCCCCACTGCCGGACACACACACACACACACAGACAGACACACGCAGACAGACAGACACACACGCCCCCGCTCAG